GTGTGTGTGTGTGTGTGTGTGTGTGTGTGTGTATATGTCTTTATGTATGTTTATATGCACAAATGTGTATGTTTGTATGTGTACACCATATCATAATTGTGAAAATTTACATTGCACTGCAATTTGTATATTCGTTTATATATATCTATTCTATGCATTAGGATCGAACTATAATCGTCGATATAATGCAATTGATAGCTCAGCATTCTATGCGTAAGTGTCTGCATACAATAATTGTTGAATTATCTGCAAATCCAAATGCATAGTTTCGTATGCAAAAATCATTTAATATCGTTTGACTGGTTCCTCACAAAGGTTTATTAGTGTACTGCAATCTGCCATAACCTTGACAGCAGCTTGGCGTTATAATGTTGATGACAAGGGTATATCACTATCGATTGAGAACATATTTATTTGATCTTGTATTCGTAGGCCAGTCACGGTACGGTTCGGCACGTACACACACGTACACACATGCGTGTATAACACAAGTGTTTTCTTTACAAAGTTTTAAAAAACCCACGGTCACACGGACTCGTCCGTTCTCCATAGCCTTCTGTGTTTGATTTCAGAAGGCTATGCGTTCTCCATCAGATGTTTACTTTTCATTCTACTGCATATAAATAAATAGAGTCATAGACTGTCATCATGAAATATCTCTGTGTACGTACATATTGGGATTTGGGCGGGCCGCGGGCCGCGGGCCTTGTGACAGTCCCCCGATATGGATCATTGGATGGGCGATTGTGCGGTAATACTTTATGGAAAAAAATAATCCAACATGAAATGTTGATCCCGTGAGAATATGTACGTCATAAATAAATACCACAGAGAAGCGTCATCGGCCATCACTCCCCCAAAGTTAAATCATCCCCTCTGGACCCATCTCCTTAGTTATTAAATAACAATCATCTGATTGGATGTTCATGAATGACGAACAAAGTATCATCGGATTGGCTGGTATTCAATGTTTACTGATCTATTATTGGCTGTTTATGAGTCTTATCGTCGAAAAAATCTATTCGACCGAAAAACTCGAAAAGAAAATAACTATGTGAATTCACACGGACTGGAATTCATACCAGTATACTGCACAGCAACAACAAGTTTTGCGGCTTTCTTCAGGTATTCGAGATCTACTTGCCTATGTGTTATATTAGCAGATAGAGCATTCTATCCCCTACATACAGATGCACAAATAGGACTATCGTTGAAGTGTTGGCACGGATTATCCTTGTCGAGTACTGGTTCACAGTTAGTTAATATTTTTATATAGTCTCGGGTAGGATGCGGAGCTCGCAATCACATCGCAATTAGAACCGTATTTGTTTTTTCATCTGAACACGCACGTCACAGTGTAACCGTACAACGGATGAACATAACCGGTGATATTTCTAAAGAAACAGAGAGTTTTAAAATTAATCAGTACTATCACCACCTATCTATAGAATATGAAGGGTTCCAGTGCAAGTGGATCTGCGTTGTCGGGCGAAAGCCACACAGACCAATCAACAGTAGCACGTGACTGTGAATATAATGCTACCAACAAGACTAAATCAGGAAGTTTGAAAGAGGCAAAAGCCAAGTCAGTCAAGCCCATCCCTAAAAACTGGTTCAAGAAAAAACCAGTACAGAACAAAGCTGAGCGGCTAGAGCTGGGTACCGATGTACTGAAGTATGGCGATGGGAAGACAAACAAGTGTATGCGGGCTTCACTCAAGAGTGCCGGAGTTGGCGAATTCGTTGAGAACACTAATACTGAGACCGAACAAGTGCAGTTGGGTACCAACGAGACCACACTAAGTGCAAGTTTGAGTGGGAAGGGTAGGCATGTACAAACAAGCCAACCATCCAGTGCTATAGCAGGGGCTCAGAGCTCTCCAGAGGGAGTGTTCCTAATGTCCGTAGCCCTGATCCAAGCCAAGAACCTATCAGTGGCTGTGTCTAGTACAAATACTTCGATTAGTAACACAAAGGGGTACTTTGTGAAGATAATGGCCGATGGACAGGAACACACTTCAACTAAAGTAACCAAAGATCACACCCCTATTTGGAATCAGCGCTTCGATTTCGCTTTCCAGGAGAGACCCGAGGTACTGTTATTTCAGTAT